ATAGTTGCTGCCCTCAACCCTTGGAGGTGGGGCTCTAGCCTAAAGCTGTGAGACTGGGTGCAGGGATAGGAGCGTGGAGGACAAGAGGAGACAGAGGTGAGGGGCAGTGTGAGACTGTTATGGGGCGCTCAGTGAGACTGGAACAGGTGCACAGGGAGGATGGAATAAACAGCGGGACCGAGATTGGAATGAATGGCAAAAATGGCTGTTTTCCTTTAAGGAATGTCTGTACTGTTCTCCTTACGCTGTACCAATATGCCTGTCACCACAGTGTTATGCCATGGTTTCTTTTTCTCCACATCTTCAACCAGTGTTTGTTGTTTCCAATATTTTTGATAGAGTCTATTCATTGACATGAGAGTATACCTCATTGGGTTCCTGTTTTGCATTTTCCTACTAAGTGTGCCTTTGGGCCATTCAGGTCTTTGGTCCCCTTTTTTAAAAATTGGCTTGCAGGGATCAAAGATCTAGTATACCCGGTAGGGTGTTTGCCTTGCACAAGGACAGCCTGGGTTTGATTCCCGGCACCCCATAATTTCCCCCAAAGCCCACCAGGAGTGATTCCTGAGTGCAAAGTCAGGAATGACCCCCACCCCCAGAGACCACTGGATGTGACCCCAAACCAAAAAATATGTATTTTTAATTGGGTTGCTTGATTTTTTGTGTTAAATTATGTATTTTAAATGTCAACCCCTTATTAGACATAAGCTGGGTCTTATGTCTTCTCCGAATTACTTCTCCCATATCTTATCCCAATTGCTAAATTGCTTCTGTCTTTGTGCTACATTTTTTGCTGTGTAAAACCTTTTTTATTTTTATTTTTTAATTTAATTTTGGTTTTGGGGCCACATCCATCTGTTCTCCGGCCTTACTCCTGACTCTATGTTCAGGGTTCATTTCTAGCAGGGCTCAGGGGTGTGGGGGATCAAATTCAGGTCAGCAGCATGGAAAGCAAGGCTCTGCCTACTGTGCTATTTCTCCACACCAAGGATTTTTTTTATTTTTATGTTAATGTAGGAATACTACTGTTTATTCAGCCATTGATTAAGCTGATTGAATTGGGCATGAACTCCACATTACTTTTTTTTTTAATTTTTTAGTTGAATATCCATGAGATAGACCATTACAAAGCTGCTCATAATTGGATTTCAGTCATACAGTTATCCAGCACCCATCCCTCCACCAGTGTACGTTTCCCACCACCAGTGTCCCCTGTTTTCCTACCTGTACAATTTCCTCACACAGAGCTATGTAAACTCCTTCGCTCAGGGATTACACATGAAAGGATGTTCGTATGCTCTCTAGGTGGCTCTCTTTCACCATCCACATTCAGTGCTCTCAAGCCGCTTCCCCACCCAAGACAGCCGTTGCCTTGGATGGACAAAGGAAGAACAAGGGCCAAGCTGGTTGCTGATTAGTTGCTGTTTATTCAATCTCTCGTCTCTCCCAGCTCTCCAACCCTCTCTCTAACTCGCTCTACAACTCTCTTTGACTCCACTCCAATCTTCCCAGCCACTCTGACTCTCAGCTCTCAGCCTTCTCTCTAACTCCGTGTTTTCTTCTCTCCATCTCTGTCTCCCCCTCAATCTTCCTCAAACTCTGTCTCACTCAGTTGACTCCTGTCTCCTCTCTCTCTCTCTCTTTCTCTCTCTCTCTCTCTCTGTGTCTATCCCCCCAGTCTCCTGTCCTCTTCTGTCTCTGTGTCTCTCCTTCAATTTTCTTCTCCTCTCTCCCCCCAGCCGCTCTTTTTCTTCTCTCTCACCATGCCCCCCCTCCAACCATACCTCCCCACAAGAAGCGCAATCAAAATGCTTTTCCAGTCTTCCCGACCACCTGCAGCCTACAAGGGTATGACAGCCCTTAAGGTGTGTTTCTCCTCTCCTTAGACCTGCAACTTTATTAACATCTTTAATTCTCCTTCCTAATATTTACCATTATGTATGGACACTTTTAGGATTGTAGGGTGACTCTCCTTGGGACATCTCACCACAGACTCAGACTTACAATGCTCAGGCCAGATCAATCATTCCTAACCGCAACAGGGTCCAAATCTAATTATTACTTTTTGGATCATGGCAGAATTTGCCCATGACCATGCTCTTAACTAATAGTTAAGCCTTATGGCACATTGGCCAGACCCATTTCGATGCCAGGGTAGCTAGCTCACCACTTGCCTTGGGTCCATCAGTCCCTTGTTAGGACCCTGCTTTGGGGGATCTAGGAAGTAAGGGCCACTGCGGCTTAAGTTGAGAGAGCAGATGTCCAGGAGGTAATACTATCTGGGGTCAATCAACTCCCAAGCCACAGGCTTGTCTTTTTAACTGTCCTCCTGTATCCATACAAAAAAAAAATTTCTCTGAAATAGCTAACCATGCAAAGGACAGTAAGAAGAGAAAGACAATATTTACAAGTCAGAGTCTGATCAGGAGACAAAAAATTGACAGGTTGGGTGGCAATCAACAAATACAAGTTCCCAGCAGCCAGGGAGGAAGGGCAAACCAACGTTATCCTATACCTACCACCATACCCAAAAGACCTTAACACCCCACCCCCAGCCTCTCTCTATGGGACGCACTTTCCTTCTTGCTCTCTCTCTCCTTTTCCTTTTGTGCATTATGGTTTGCAATACAGGTGCTAAGAGGTCATGGTGTTTATTCAGGGTATTTGGTATTTTTATCAGGACAGTAAGGCTGGAGTAGCTTTTCAGTTGGCCACTCTGGGGTGTGGATGTGACTGCCAAGGCTTCCAGAAGTATAGGGAGGTGGAGGGAGGTAGCCCATCCTGACTACGAGGAAGCCTGAGGTTTCAGTCACAAAACCGGAATACCCAAATTTTCTGCAGATTATATCTTGGTGAGGTCCGTCCTAAGACCATAGAGACAGACTGGGGGGGTATGGTGGTGATTTTGGATTGTGGAAGCAAGTGTCTGCCGGGGGCTCCGCTTGGGTGGGCCCCTGGTCAACCCACATCCCTCTGATTTACCCCGGTCTGTTCAGCCATGTGTGGGTCTGGTCCGGGATTTACTGTGACTTTTGATCTTTTTTGAGATTTATTTATGGTTCTCTGAAGCAAGACCAGTAGTAGAGCTTACATGGTGGTGCTAGAGTTGGTTCGTGGGGGTCACTGCCAGTGCTTCCAGGAGTATTGGGAGGTAGGGGGAGGTAGCCCATGCCAACTTCGAGAAAGCCTGGAGATTTCAGTCTCAAAGCCTGCATGGCCAAATTTTCAACAGATTATATCTTGGTGAGGCCCATCCTGAGACAGTGGAGTCAGGCTGGGGGTATGGTGGCAATTTTGGATTGTGGAAGCAAGCGGCTGCCGGGAACAATTCTTGAGCAGACCACCAGGCCAACCCTCCCCCCCCCCCCCAACTTACCCCGTTCTGTTCAGCCATGCATGGGTTCAAGATTAACTGTGACTTTTGCTCTCGTTTGAGATTTATGAGTCTCTGAAATAAGGCCAATAAATGAGCTTGGATAGCTGAGCCGGGGGTGGTTTGTGGATGTGGCTCCCATATAACTAACTTTTGGCTGTTTAATTTATTGCTAAACTTGGCCTCAAGTTATTGGGTCCGTCCAAAGGCACAGTGGCAGTTTTGGTGTATTTGGAGGCCTGAAGGCACCATCAGGCTGCTGATGCACTCGCCCTGCAGGTAGAGGTCAACCTATTGGCACCATACACCCCCACCCCCCAAAGATTTTTAGTTTGACATAGTGTCTCTCTCTATTCTTGCTGTCATTTTCCTTGCCATGGAGTTGAGTCTCTGAGACTCCAGGATCCAGGCCTAGAGTATGTCACCTATGTTTCCTTCTTTGTATTTTGTGGTTTGAATCTGTATCCAAATCTTTATCCTATTTTAAGTTTCGTGTATGATGTTGAATAATATAGTTTTGGGTTTTCTTGCATGTAACTGTTCTGTTTTTCCAGTATAATTAGTCATTTGTGTTGGTCTTAGATGTTCCTATGTGTCTGGGTTTATTTCTGGGCTCACTACTTTATTCTATAGTCCTGTGTGCCTGGTTGGGGTCTAATATCATAATGTCTTAAATATCATTGCTTTACAACATATTTTAAAGTCAAGAAGCACAATGCCTCCACTTTTCTTATTTTCTCTCAAAATTGCTTCAACTAGTCATGATCTTTTTGAATCTGTACAAATTTTAATATTGTTTATTTGATTTCCTTAAAGACTGTCAGTACTATTTTAGTATGTGATTACATTGGGTTCATAGATTCAGTAAGACCGTCGTTTGGATAATGATTTTGTCTTTTGACTTGCTTTTCAAGCCCATGTTCTCCCTTCCTTGTCTTTGTTTTCTTTGCTTGCTGATTTCAACTCTGGAGAAGCCTGTGTTCTCTCTCAGAACATGTACTTTTCTCTCTCCCTAACATCTTTCTAAATAAATTTCAATGAAAACTACTTTCCTTCACCAAAAAATAGTAATAATAAATTACTTTTGCCATCTATAAACTTTGCATAGAGAAACTCATACTCTCTTTTCCTGTGCCTTGCTTGTTTACTCAGAATTGTTTTTTGATACCTATTTTTTTGTGGTTCATTAATCCCAATGTCATGTAACTTCCCATTGAAATATTTCACAATCAATTCTGTATTTTATGAGTCATCATGTTTCTTCACAATAAAATACTTTAGCGTTAATTGCCGCATATTGTTTGGCTCGTTCTAACCTTAAAGATTTCATGGTCTCACTTCAAGGGGCTCAGAGACAGCCCAGGAGTGTTCTGGGAACTTTGCGGTGCCAGAGATCAAAGCCAGGTCTCCTGCGTGCAACCCTACCCACTAGCCCTTTGAGCTGCCCCCAACCCCTTAACTCATTTTTTTTTAAAAAAAAAAGCTCTTTGGCAGGGAAAGTATGTTTATATCCTGAATTTTCCTCATAATGGTTATTTGTGATAGCACTCTAATTTTGTCATTACACACGATGTGAATATCTTTGTTTTCCCTTACATTGATGCTAAATTTTGTGTTCGATTCACAGTTCCCATGGAAAACGTTGCAACCATTGCGGATTGTGCCAGCGTGATTGAAGGAGTAAGTCGGAGCCGAAATGCCTTGCTGAATGGGGACACCAAGAATTATGACTGGGATTCTGGCTATACATGTCACCAGCTGGGAAGTGGTGCCATTGTGGTTCAGCTGGCACAGCCCTACATGATCGGGTCGATACGGTAAGAAGGTTCCTTTTTATGCATTACTTTGAAGGTGGAAGACAAACATGCAAATGGGTGGGTTGGTACCTGCGTGAAGTCAACTTCAGTTCAGACATTCTTCTGAAAAGAAGGGAAAAGGGTGAAGACAGAAAATGCAGGAGACTTGTTTGGGCACCAGAAATGGTGCTGAGATGCACCAAAATTAGACTTTTGTAAGGAGTGATAGAATCCTCTCACTTGTATGGCTTCCCTTTTACTCGTGTCTGTCTGTATGTGAGGTAACATGGAATCAAATACCAGTTTCAGTTTTAATAAGAGACTTCACAGATGAGCCAAACAGACTACATATGAGACTTGGTTCTAAAAAATCTTGGTGATCTTTGTGTTTGGGTTTGTTCTTTTTGTTTCTATTTTCTTTTATGATGGGAAGTTTAACCCAAGATTGCTTGACTTATTAGACAGAAATTTAAAATGTAAGGCTGGTATCATCCCCCAAAGGCTACACGTTTAGTTCAAGAGACCTTTTTGCATCTGAATAGGCTTTCTTTATCTTATAATACAGTTTTTTAATGTTTATTTTTTTGTGGTGCTGGTTGTCAGTTCAGTCTACACAGGCATGTGCTGACTGCTGAGCAGTGCCCTGACTCTGCCTTCTCTCTTTCCTCTTTTTCTTTTTAAGAGTTCTAAGATCTCTGAATTTGAATGATGTTATTGTGAAAAAATACATATTTTGAAATACTTTACATTCTGCTTATATACAGATTAGCCAGCCAGAAGTACAGTGTTAGCTGGACATTGCTGCCTTCGCCGTATCACGTTTTGCCACATTTGCTTTGTTGTCTCCTGTTCTCTGTTAAAGACAGTATATAAAAAGAGAATAGTATTTTTTAAAAAATGAAGTAAGATTTTAACAAAAGTTTATTGATATTTATGTTAATAACGATAGAGCTTAATACTGTTTGCCAGGGTCCCTGGAGCACCCTGGCAAGTAATGTTGGATTTCCTGAAGAATTTAGACTCTGGATCTTTTTTTTTAATTTACATTTTCAGTTCCTTTTCCTAAGGAGACCCAGACAGACAGTCCCATAAACAACAAGCCTCAGCTCAAACAGCCGTGGGCTCTTACTGCAGGTGGGCCAAACACTTTGTGTTCAGGAAACGGGAAAAGACGAGCTCCAGTCAACTTGGACAGACCATGTACAAATAAATTTCCGTCAAATAGCAAACATTATTCTACCCTTTTTTCTTCTCAGCTGTATTAGCTAAAGCAATCATAAGCCATTAATAAACCCTGCTAGAATCTTGGTCACAGACAATGCTAAAGTTACCTGAATATTTTCCATTACAGTCTATACCTCCCCATTTTACAAATCTGGAAAATAGTCATCCTCCCCGTATCTTCTGCCACTCCTCAGAGTCTCCACAATTTCTTGAAGATTACCAGTCGTGTCTCTGAGATTACATCTGCAATTTCTTTCAGCAGGCTTGGGGTGTAACTCATCTGAGCCAGGAGACTTGAAATCATTTAAATTGACTAGATACTCTCTTTGACTTCACCTATTTGGGCCTTCAATTTGCACTTGATTATGTTTGTTCTGCCATTTCTAATTTGAAGGTCAGTCTTCCTGCCAATGAGGATGGTAGCCAAGAGGCAGCTTAGTAGTTCTGCCATTCTCTTTTAAAGTTCTCTGTATCTGGTGTGGTAACGTGATATCCTACGCCCCAACCCCAGTACGGCAGTGTTCCCCAAGCATCTCCAACCAGTATGTCAGAAACGGCATTTCTGTTACCTTCCCTTTCCCCTGCCCAAGCCGCTTCGTGGTTTACCCGTTTCATTAAGGGGTGCTACCCATCCGCCCACTGATGCGGAAATAGAGAATCTTTCGAAGTTTCTTGATCTTCTTCCTGCCTGCCCCCGCCCCCGATGTCAAGTTCTGTCAGTCCCACCTCCTGCACCTCTCACAGGTCTTTCCCCTTTCCCCATCTCCTCTGCCGTCACCACGGCTGGACTCTGTAGTCAGTCTTCTCTGCCTTGCCGCTCACCATCCCTGGCCACCTGCAGGCACCTCCTGCTGTGTTTGCCCAGTCCTGATGCAGTCACATCCCTCCCAAGAGCGTTCCCAGGGGAAAGTCGAGACGAAGCCACGTAAGAAGGACCTGATGACTCATCTCTAAACCGGGTCTTCTGCTTCTCTTCCCATCCCCCGGCACGGTTTCCTTTTCGCCCTTCCCAGCTGCTTGTACTTTGCCTACCGTCTCTTTCCCTCAAGTCTCAGGCTCTCTGAACGTGATGTTCTCCTTGCCCGTGTCTCTCACTCCCCTCTCTCCAGCCTGCTTTGTCTGCCTCCGTGCCCCCTTCAGGGAGACTCCAGTCCTTTGGGGACGTTCGCTGCCCTTTCATCAGGTTCGGCTGACTTAGACGCTTCTGTTCATACATTCAGTATGAAATTCCTGTTGGAGGGTTTGCAATATTATATTTTAATTGCTTGCTTGCTGCGTCCTCCCTGCCTTACCTGATACATAAAGCCTGTGGCTACCGAGGAAAAGTGTCCCTGAACAGACTGAGTGTGCAGATGAGGGAGTCTGTCAAGGTAGGAAAATATAGCCGGTACAGTAGGAGATCCGGGATTTTAGATCCAGCGGGGACCTCATAAGGTCGTTGCCAAGGAAACAACTCAGAGAGAGACAAACAGGCTCTTTGAGTGGCAAGACCACCCTGGTCTCTAACTCTGTCTGAAGAATCAGTGGTGTATCTGACTCCAGAAAAAGTTGTCATTGAGGCTTAAGACAAAGAGATCATTGCCCGTTTGCTTTTTGTTCATTTGGAATGGAAATTGTTTCCCCAAATAATTTATTTTCCTCTCTGGGGGATGGTGAGCATGAACACAGCCGAAGGCATTATTGTATATCTCAACACAGTTGTTTTTGCAGTGAGAAAATCCATGCGGTTGAAGCAGCGTATAACTGACTAAGCTCTCCAAGAGACACGTCTCTTTGAAACTAACATTATGTTGTCAGGAACTGCATTTGCCTCTTCTGTGACATTATTAAGGAGAAAGGGAGAGGAATTTCTTAACCACCAATGTCTGTGACCGATGCTGGATATCTTGGCAAGCGTGGTTAACGGCAGCTGATATGCCCAGATAGACATTTATTGATAGGAAACTAGATCAGTGGCACCTCTTCATGGGGATGGGTAATTGCCCAATGACAGGATGATTAGTCGGTGACATTTGACCCACAGCTTCTGTTGCTGGTGATGACTGACTTGCTTTCCTAGTCACTGTATCCCAAGCAGCCCAATAATTCTAAATCGTCGCCTCACGGGAGAGCATCTCGGAGCTGAGCGACAAGTGCTTTCCGCAGACCCAAGGCAGGGCTGTCTTGGAGCCGTCCCCCGGTGGGCCCCGACACATAGTCTACTGGCTTTAAAATTTTGGCTTCTTTCAGACAGTGATGCAAAGGCAGGGTCTCAAGCAAGAATTGCCTTATGACTGCATCACGACTCCTAAGAGAGAGGACACCGCTGTTTCGCGAATAGAGGTTTCTTTTGTTTTGTCATCCACAGAGATGGCTTCTCCCTTTCCTGAGAGTTTACCCTCTAGTGGGTGGGTAAGCAGAGCCTTTACCAGGCAGACGCTGGCACCTACCCGTCACTGGCAGCCCTTTCCTGCTAATGTCTTGCACCAACCAGTCCCTAGTGGTGTCCTGGAGAGCCTGACCCTAAAGCACAATTTCTTGATTACTCTCCCCACACACACATTTTCCTTCATGTACTTATTGAATAAATGAATCTTTACCATGTGCCAAGCGGGTATTGTTCTAAGCGCTGGGAGTGCAGCATGGATGAAGATACTAGTGGGTGCTGTCATGGAGCTGACATTCCATGTTTGTCAGGCATCGGGGAGAAGGGCGCACAGCATTATTTGTGACAGCGAGATACTCAGAGGTGCCATCGGGCTTTCACGAGTGAGGACTAGTATTTCGGCACTTCACAGTCTTCGACTGATTGTCAGAGCAGGCCTTGTACAGAGCCTGAATTATGGGGAAGGCAAAGTATTTGGGAATGTGGGGAACGTGCCTCATAGGCCCCAAGATGGAAGTGTGGTGGGCCCTGTGGTGGGAGTATGACCACGGGTTGTTGGACCAACAATAGAAGGCGAGGCTGAGGTGCAGACTTGAGACGGGACCTGGAGAAGTGACAGCATGATGCGTTTGTGGTTGCCGCTGTATCCAGTCAGTTCCCACAACCATCCCGTCTACTGCCGCCACCCCCACGCCTGCATTTCACCAGCACCGTGGAGTGCGGGCTCTGTTGAGGACGCCAGGGCAGAGGCTGAAGGCCTTCGCACAGTACACTGTCTTTGTTTCTGATCTGCCTTCAGCCGGCCAGTTCCTGGGAAAGATCCAGCAGGAGGCGTCCTAGTCTTTCCAGTTCAGTAGAGAGGGAAGTTCCTTCTCTTGCATTTCCTCTCTTGCCCGGGGGCCAGAGCAGGTGGCATGAAAGGGAACTGGAAGGGCTTATCTTTATTGCTAGGTTCACAGGCACAGCAAAAGTTATTCTTTTCATTTGAGACAAAGAAATTACATGGAATGTGCCTTAAAAGTGGGTAAATCAGTAGTAATTATACTGTTTTCACGCCATTTTTAAAACATTTGCTCGAGCGGGCCCAGTAACGTCTCCATCATGAGACTTGTTGTTACTGTGTTTGGCATATCGAATACGTCACGGGGAGCTTGCCAGGCTTTGCCGTGCGGGCGAGATACTCTCGGTAGCTTGCCTGGCTCTCCGAGAGGGGCGGAGGAACCGAACCTGGCTCGGCCGGGCTAGCTGTGCGCAAGGCAAACGCCCTACCGCTGTGCTATCGCTCCAGCCCCTCTCTACTCTAATTTAAAACATTAAGATTTAAATAACGGGAAATTTTCAGAGGCCTGACCTCATAAAAAGACTGGGGTAGAGTCGTAATAACTAACCAAATCTACCTGATGTCTTAGTTTATAGTCCCTCCGTCACCTCG